ACTATGTAACCTTTATCGATGATTCAACACGCAAGGTATGGGTCTATTTTCTTAAAAATAAATCTAATGTATTTGATACTTTTAAGATATGGAAATCTGCTGTTGAAAATGAAACTGATTTGAAGGTAAAATGCCTGAAGTCGGATAATGGTGGTGAATACATAAGCAAGGAGTTTGTTGACTATTGTGCCAAGCAAGGGATAAAGATGATCAAGACGGTCCCAGGAACCCCTCAGCAGAATGGTGTAGCTGAAAGAATGAATAGAACTCTGAATGAAAGGGCTAGAAGCATGAGGTTGAATTCTGGTTTACCTAAGACATTTTGGGCTGATGCAGTTAACACTGCAGCCTACTTGATCAACCGTTCACCGTGTGTTCCCTTGGATTTTAAATTACCAGAAGAAATGTGGCAAGGGAAGGAAGTAAGTCTCCAACACCTGAAAGTTTTTGGTTGTACTGCTTACAGTTTGTTAAAAGATGGTGACAGAGATAAACTTGATTCAAAGACCAAGAAGTGTACATTCATTGGTTATGGGTCAGACGAAATGGGTTACAGGCTTTGGGATAGTGAAAACAGAAAGTTAATCCGAAGCAAGAACGTCACCTTTAACGAAACTGAGTTATACAAAGACAGAAACAACAAAAGTCCAGAAATTCAGAAGGAGTATGTTGAGTTTGAAGATGATGAAAAGAAGAAAGAAGCTTCAGTCGAAATCCCTGAATCTGGGGATGACTCAACTGACAGTGGGAGCTCAGGGGATAATTCCAGTAATGATTCTGAAGATGATGAAACCAGTCCTCCAACTCCAGAGTCCCCAGTTACACCTCAAGTTCAACTAAGAAGATCTTCCAGAGTCACCAGACCACCAAAAAGATACTCACCATCTGTTAACTACATTATCCTGACAGAAAATGGTGAACCCCAGTGTTACTCTGAAGCTATAGGGTTGAAAGATTCATTGCAGTGGAAGCTAGCAATGAAAGATGAAATGAAGTCGCTTGAGAAGAACAACACCTGACACTTAACAAAGCTTCCAGTTGGGAAGAAGGCTCTTCAAAATAAATGGGTTTTCAGGGTCAAAGATGAACATGATGGTACCAAACGGTACAAAGCAAGATTAGTAGTCAAGGGTTTTCAACAGAAAGAGGGAATCGATTTCAATGAAATATTCTCTCCAGTAGTGAAGATGACCACTATCAGACTTGTTCTCAGTATTGTAGCAGCAGAAGGTTTGCATCTAGAGCAGCTAGATGTCAAGACAGCTTTTCTACACGGTGACCTAGATGAAGACATTTACATGACACAACCAGAGGGTTTTCAGGTTAAAGGAAAAGAAAACTTGGTGTGTAAATTGAAGAAGAGTTTGTATGGTCTGAAACAAGCGCCCAGACAATGGTATTTGAAGTTTGACAACTTCATGAGAAGAGTTGGTTACAAGAGATGTGACAATGATCATTGTTGTTACATCAAGAAGTTTAAGGGTTCTTATATCATTCTACTACTCTATGTAGATGATATGTTGATTGTCGGTTCAGACATGTCAGAGATTAAAAAGTTAAAGAAACAAATGTCTGAAGAATTCGAGATGAAAGACTTGGGAGCTGCAAACCAAATACTCGGGATGAGTATTTCCAGAAACAAAGAAGATGGCTCTTTGACACTCTCTCAAGAGAAGTACATTGAGAAAGTGTTAGAGAAATTCAGCCTTAAAGAAGCCAAGATCAGAAGCACACCCTTGGGAAGTCACTTTAAGCTTTCTAAAAATCAATCACCCAAATCAGATGAAGACAAAGCAGAAATGGCTAAAGTTCCATATGCATCTGCAGTTGGTAGCCTCATGTATGCAATGGTATGCACGAGACCAGATATTGCTCATGCAGTGGGAGTTGTTAGTCGGTTTATGTCCAATCCGGGGAGAGAACATTGGGAAGCAGTTAAATGGCTGTTAAGATATTTGAAGGGGACTTCAAAATTGGCATTACATTTTAAGGGGAAAGATGTTATTCTGAAGGGTTTTGCGGATGCAGACCTTGGTGGTTGCAAAGAATCATACAAAAGCACTACCGGGTATGTCTTTACAGTGGGAGGCACTGCGGTAAGTTGGATGTCCAAATTACAGAAAAGTGTTGCCCTTTCAACCACAGAAGCAGAGTATATGGCAGTTGCTGAAGCAAGCAAAGAACTTATATGGTTGAAGAATTTTCTCATCGAACTTGGCAAAGAACAAGATAATTGTGAACTATTCTGTGACAATCAAAGTGCAATTCATCTTGCAAAGAATCCCGTCTTCCATTCGAAGACAAAGCACATACAGCTGAGATATCACTTCATCAGAGAAAGAATTAATGATGGCACTCTGAAGTTGAATAAGATCAAAGGAACTGAAAATCCAGCTGATATGTTGACTAAGGTTGTCACCTTAGAGAAGTTGAAGCTTTGCATAGCTTCAACTGGCCTTCAGGATAATTGAAGAGAAGGCCGGGTAACTAGGATGGAGTCAAGATCAAAAGTGTTTTACAGAAATACAGATGCACAGTTGAAGCACATGTGAAGAATGTTCCGTGGCTTCAAGTGGGAGATTGTTGAGTGTGAATCCACGTCAAAGTGGTCCACAGAAAAGTTAGTCAAAAAGGTTGATTAAAAAGGAATGGTGATCCGGTTCTTACGGACCATGTTTTATGGCTTTCCTTTTTTTTTTTCTCCATTCAATCCTATATAAGATTGTATTGTATCTGTAGTTTTAATAACACACAAAAAAGAAGAAGAAATAAAAACTCCTAGTTACCCTAGTGTGGACGTAGGTCAGAAATAGACCGAACCACCTTAAATCTTTGTGTTCTCCTTTTTTCTATAATTCGTGAGCTGAGAGAGAGAGTTTCGTGTTCGTGTCTCGATCCTAACATCTACAACCTTCGCTGACAGGAAATTCCTTGCTATATGTCATTTTTCCTTGTAGTTGAAGCATATTAAAGAACATTTTATGCAATTATAAGTATTTTTTGAGCTTTCATCTTTATGGTAACTTCTTTCCCCTTCTTGATTCTTCACTTTGTCATCATTCTTCTTGGACCCAGCTTGGAAATTCTTCTTGAATTTTCCTTTACCTTTGTTTGCATAGAGAGCCTCTTCTTCTTTCTTTAAAAAGACTCCTCCCATTTGCTTGGCTAGTGCTTCCTGTCCAACTAACAAATTTTCGAACTCAATAAGGGATGGCTGCGTTTGCCATCCTTTTAGGGCAGCTACAAAGCTCCTAAATTTCAGCTTCAAACCACGGATGCTAATCCAATTCATCCTAGTATCACCGATACGAGAATCTGGGTCCAACTCAGAAATTTCTCAGCATATCATCTTCACTTTGTGAAAGTACTGTGTGATCGTCGTGTCCCGTTGTGCCACCAATAACAACTCATTCTCCAAAAATTGGAGTTTCGTGTCGTTCTTCTTGGAAAATAACTCAGTGAGTGTATCCCAAGCTTCTTTCGGTGTCTGCACATCCCGTGTATGCTCGAGCACATCTTCTTTAACCGTCGTCTTCAAAACAAACATTGCTTTTCCCACCTTAATTCTCCATTTTCGTAGAACCTCGTTGCTGTCTTCGGTTTCTGGTTGCTTGACTTCAGTTCCATACACAACCTCCCACAAATCTTGGCCTTGCATATAAGATGTCATGCACGTCGACCAAGAGTTGTAGTTTTGATTGTTGAGTTTCCTAATTCCACCAACCACTTAAAGATCTGCAATATGTATCTAATACCATATTGTTAACTTTGAGATTACACACGATGTGACTTATTACTCTTCAAGAAATGAGAATGTGGTACTCAACTAAGTAGAAAGCTGCACAAACATAATAACGGAAGAAGGGAACAATATGCACAGAAGAATGCTCTATTGGTGTTACATATTCAAAAAGCAAGCATAACTTTTAATAGACTTACAAATGAGAATAAATGGGAAACAAACTCCATAATTCACTCGACTACCTACCATGACTCCATAAAGCTAAATTCTATGACAACCTTTGACTACAATGAACATGCTAACTAAGAGCATTTATGTAGTGCAGTAAAATAAACAAAAGGCACCTGATGGTGTTGCAAACTTTAACATACACTTTCAAGGCGGTAGGGTCAAGTTGTCATCTTCGATGGGTTATGTCGTTGGAAAGGTAGCAACACAATTCATAGGGGGGGGGGGGGGTTGGAGATGAGAGAGTGAAGGGTGAGTGTGTTGGGTTTTATAAAGGGTAAATTGGTCATTTCACATACTTAACCTATTTTTACTAATGAAACATTAGAAAAGAACCAAAGTTGCAGCTTTTTTAAACTGCATGTCTACATCTGAAACGTTTTTGAAAGTTGTCCTCATTCTGTCACCTTTTGAAAAGCATAGGGACCAATTCTAAAATTTTATCAAAAATAAAGAGCAAGTTGTGGTTTTGTCCACGTGGTATATATTTTGTATAGGTTTGCAATTTTGGTTCTATTAAATTAAATGTAACTTGAGAATTAAAAGACTTCAAACAAATCCGACATCATTTTTCTATATGATAAATATTTAGAATAGGTTGATGGTCGTTAGGCTCATAGTTGCACACAGTGAATACTCATCTCATGGGGTGTGGGGGTGGAGGCCCCATGGTATAGACCTATATTGATTTATATTTGCCCATATTTTATTCTAATCATGGTCTAAGTTTATACTTTTCCTATATATATAAAATATGGTAAATTGTACCATTTGAACGGCCCACATGGGAGGCCAATCTTGAAACATTGACTAGCAACATTTTTGGTGTTTGGGTTTGAACCATGTACCTCTTGTGTGAAATTAAATTCCTCAATCACTAAGCTCCAATTGCAGGGGTACTTTGGGTATATATATAACGGTTGGGCACAACTCAACAAAAGAAACTATCAGTTTTCAAATACTTAAAAGTTCAATATTAGACAATTTTCATTCTATCTCGCAAAGATTAAATAAAAGAAACTTGTATATATGCGTATTAAAACTTCACCATGTGTATATATATGTGATTGTAAGGAATTTACATGATGTGTGGACAAAGAGAAGCAAAACAAAATGGTCTCAATATATATGTGCACCTCAGCCTACAAACACCCCCTCCCCAAAACAGGGCAACTTTTTCTATGAGAAAAGAAACCCATACCATATTACGAATAGATAAACAAACAAACAGAATCAAGAAAATTCCTCACAAAATCAAGATTCATATACAATTGTCTGGTGCTGAATGGTTAATGAAGCCATGGATGTTGTAAGGCTTCACTAGCCGTTGGTCTTTTTTGGGGATTAATCTCAAGCAAACTCCTCACAAAATCAAGAAATAGTTCATCAGAAACATGAAGGTGGTCTTCAAGTGATGTTTCTTGTGGGATTATGTATTCCATTTCATTTGTTTCCTGTGATTGCAGACAAACTTACAATTATAGAAATAACATTATGAACTACAAGGTATGACTTTTTTAAAAGATTATGCAGCAGACAAACCTCGTTTATTTGATAAAGATCAAATTTTTTTGTGAAATACTTATCCGTTTCTTGCCCATTTTCCAACATCTCAATTTCAATTGGACCAAGCATTCCAATCACACGTGCAAGTAAAATCACAAGCGCATCATTTGGAAATAAAACCTGGAGGTGACACAAACAAGTTAATAAAAGATTACTACATGTCCTCTGACTTTCAAAGTCAAACTTTTATATTATGTATTTAACAAAAAACATATGATGATAAAATAAGTTAATAACTTACATCACCAGAAGATAGCTCGGCTAAGATGCACCCAAGAGACCAAATGTCAATCTTTTGGTCATATGAATTTCCGATAATGACCTCAGGAGCCCTATATGATCTAGATTGCACATATAGTGACAAATTATCGTTTTGAAAGCAACTGCTTCCAAGATCAATGACCTTGATCTCACATCTACTATAACTTTTAATAAGAATATTTTCAGGCTTCAAATCACAATGAATGATGCCCAATTCATGCAAGTACTCCAATGCTTCCAAACATTGCCTTGTGATAATCTATTTTGACTTTCAAAAGTCAACACTTTTTGCTAAATAGTATAATTATATTTATACATACAAAAGTACTAACTTATCGAACCTGTAATCTGTTCAATGTAAAGTAAGGCTCCCCACCACATTCTTTGTTGTATTTTTGATATTCATATAAGTTGGCACGTAAAAGCTCACATACAATTATAAGATGCTCCTGTAAAATTTCCAAGAACATAATAAAAAAGTTAATAAAGCTGAAAGTTTGTTGTGTCAGATACTTTCATATTCTCACCTGAAAATAGAAATAATCATAAAGGCGTAAAATGTGGCGTTCATCCCCCGGATCATACTTGTTTACAAATTTCAAAAGCTTGATTTCATCTAAACTTTGGTCAAAGAAATCTTTATCATTCTTTATAATCTTCAAACAAACATCAATTCCAGTTTGAAGATCATGTGCCTGAACAACTTTGCTAAATGCAGCTGAACCAAGATACTCAGTAACACAATATCTGTAGCCAATCACACTGTTTATAACAATAGGTAAATCCTTATTTTCTTCAAAACCCGTCCTACAAAGCCATAAAAGAAAATTATTTACTTATTTCCAAACATAAACTTAAAAGAGACTCACCCCAATAACCATTAATATTAGTCACTAACCGGTTTTTCCTGTGTATAATTCTTAAATCAAATACTTCATATTCATCTTCATTCCCATGCATTAAAAGATCAACATTGGTGGCATCCGCATCCCCTTTTTTAAAGTCAAGATCTTTTTTATCCTCTGAATCACTTTTCACATTAAAGTCAACATCTTTTTGACCCACCTGATTTTGTGGTTCATGGGTATTATTAGAAACCCCAACAAGATAACAATCGCAAGTTCTTTTATTTTCTTTGAGACACGAACTACATACATCTGATTTACACCCTGTGTCAGTTTCTTGAAAATCTTTAAAGCTAATTCCTTTATTTGAGTTATATACAGTGGCACCATTTAGGTCCTGCTCAATATACTTTCCATGTAAATCATAATAATCAGTGACTTTAACGCCATCTTTGACATACCCAATGGAAGTCAAAGGCCAGGGTTTATCCAGATAGTTTGTTTGTTCAAAAGGGTCGAATATAGGATCAAGAAACGGTTGCCCATTATCTTTTTCTGAAGTTGTTACAAATTTGTCCTCAGTTGGACCACTGAAGGGATCCGAATTGTCAAACAAAGGCGGCATAGAATAGTCTTCATCTCTCTCTGTATACCAGTTTAGGTCATTTTGCAAGTCAAAATCATGGTAATCACGAGCTGTATCAAATTGGGATAATGTATCTGATGAAGCATGAGAACTAACCCCTCTTGTGGTTCTTATTCCATATGGATTTGTGAATTCTGCACAAACCATTATCAACCAAAATAGTCAATAACCATCGATCTCTTAAGCTTGTTTGTCAGTTCAATGGAAATGGATGACTAAAGATGCATTCTAGAGTCTAGACTTTGACGATTGTGGAGGGATTCAGGGAAGTAACTACAGAAGTAACTGATCTCAATCACATTGGCATCGAGGGGAGAAAACAATGAACTTAAATTGAAGACAACAAAGAAACAAGACAAATTGTGGTCCCAAATCCAAATTAAAAACATTGAGTTCAGTGAATTAAGTCTAATTTTATTGAGAGCAACATCTTTTAGCGCCGATCATCATATAAACAGTTGATCTTTATTCTAATAAAAGCAAACCCTGAAATTACTAAACAATTGAAACAATCTGCAAAATGAGGAGTCACCTGAGGAGCATAAATCGGTAGTAGAAGAACCCAAGCTGACAAACTCGTCATCTGAAGAACTTTCAACCTCCTCCACCGTCTGCCGTGGCAGAGAGGGAGGAAGGCGAGCAGCAGGAATTTTAACCGATGGAATAGTGGGTGGAACTAGAGGAAAGAGGAATCTTTGGAAATCGAAAGAAGCCAGATGGGATTTCTCGAGGATATCATCCATGAGTGCAGATTCGGAGTCTGAGAGCCCATTTTTTCGCAAAAACTCGAGCACTTGTTCAATGTCAGAGAGTTGTTGTTCCATGGCGGATGAGAGAGAGAGGAGATTTGAAAAAAGGAGCGGAGGGAGCGGAATTAAAGAAGAATTAAGGAAGTGGTGAAAAGTAAAAATCGATCGTGGAATCGAATTTTTCATGATTCGGAGTCTCACAGTGATGAAAGAGAGATAGATTGGAAGGTAAACGGGAAAGAAATCTTGCAACAACTTTGAAAAGTAAGAAAAGGGAATGACCAGAGAAAGGTGTCGTGTGTGTTTTACAGTGATAGTCGGAATAAGTCTTTTTTTCTTTTTTTCCTTTTTTGACCATGAAGAAATTTGTAAATAATAAGACAAAAATTGAAGATAACCATTAAAATGGGTAAAATATCAGTGTTTTCTAAATTATTATTTTATGATTATAATTTATATAATAACGATTTATTTTGGAAAATTAACTTTGTAAGACAGTTAATATTTTTTTAAATGAAGTTCATCTTTTTGCAAAATTATATCTTCACCAAAGTTATATATTTTATAAAATGTTAATTTTTAAACTCTTCTTTTTTACGAAATTAAACTGAAATTGCTCTAATCTTATGAAATTCATTATGTTACGAATCACTTTTTATCATACTAAACGTTTTTGTAATAATAATCATTTATAAAGTAATTTATAAATTAAAAATAATGCTAAGAAATTAATGATTATTTCCTATTTCTCCTTCAATAGATGATTATGTCTTAATAAATCTTATCGTATGGTCCTAGAAATTAACTATGTTCATCAAATCATTGAAGAGTTTTTACATATAAATAAATATCTTTTTTAATATGATTTTTCTAACTAAAAAATTGATTGACGTTCTCATCATTTTTAGTTATGATTCCAAAAATTAAACTGTTTGTTGTAATTCGTTTGGTCCAACGTCTTGTTGGTTTTTGTTGATAATAAATTCTGCCGTTCTAAAAGAAATATTATACAAATCAATAAAACATACATATTTTGTTATGTGCATAGATTATTACTTTTAAATAAAATAATCACATCGACTATAACTAATATTTTGAAAAGAATAGTAGTTAAAAATAAAAACAATCATATTTATTTAATTTTGCGTTAAAAATATATTTGATTTGGACCGCTATCAAATCAATAATACAATTATGTAAAGTATGTTTGTTAAAAACACATACAATACAACAAATGTTTAACAAACAATTTCTTTTTCTATAAATCAACATCAAATGGGTAGTTATCATAGTTTTCAAGTATTTAAAGGAAACCACAAAGGTTTGGCGAGTCTTTCCAGACATTGGTTTGACAATTTAAGATAATTTTAAGACCAAAATTATGAAATTCAACTACACTTAAGAACTAAAAATAATCATATTATTTATATTATAAACCTAAAATATTATAAAACTTCAAATAATGACCAAGATTACAAAATAATTATTTCAGACTAAAGTTTCACAACTGAAATGAGCTTATACTCAAAAACAAGTAATTAACTCTAAAGTTTATACAAGCCATATTGTAATTTATATATTTTCTTAAGAATAATTTTCAAAATCTTAATTTTTGTAAGTGGTGCAACCTACCTTTCATGAGAGGGTGAATAATAATGACAAGGGTACAACCAACCTCCGGTCATTATGGTGTCCAAAATGTCTTCATTTGGCATCCTGTCCTTTTCACCCCCTACATTTCTCTTTTAGCCTTGTGTGCCCACTTTTTTAATTTAATTTTCTCTTTCAACTTTTTTACTTTTTGGTTTCTCTCCTTTTCTTGTTTAAAAGACGCTCGCATTGATTATGAATCTCTAACCTATAAGCATCCACTAAAAACACATAAACAAAGGAAAAAAATAGTGTTATTACTTCTTTGAGTTCTTTCTATAAAAAAATTCGGTTAAAAACATATAAACAATTGAAAAATCTTTTAAGTATCAAATAAATAAAAATGAAAGTTTTTAGAAGGATTTTGCAATACTGAATACTAGTTATGATCTCAAAATAACAGGGTCAAGGTCAGCCCGTGACTCGATGACGAATAAGTTTCATCGTCGAGAGGAAAACAATATGGATCACCATTATAGTTATACACCACAACTGATTTTTACAAACGATAATTATTTGTGTTTGATCTGGTTATAGATATAGATAATTCAAGGTTTCAAGTTACAAAAATGCTATATTCTTGAATTCTCTAATGTTTAGAAATATTTGAACTTTTGAAGTCTTGAAATATATGAGTAGTAAAGCATTTGGCATCTTAATAAGATAATTAAGCGGGATAGAACGAGAAAAAAGAAACTCGAATAAACAATAGTTTAGTTTGTTACGTTAATTTTATGTAACAAAAATCTACAACTGTAACAAGCTATTACATGAAAGTTGTTACTTTCGTACAACAAAAATCTACAACTGCTAGTTCATCACATCCAAATCCTTCATGTATTATTAACATCGATGGTGATTACTTTCTCTAAGAAAGTATTTAAACATTTTTTATAAATATTTTCAAACTTCATAGATCTTTAAGTCATTTGTTATCAAATGGGATAAAATCAATATCTTTTGATATCATATCTAGGAAATATCAACAAGGGAAAACACCATCACTTACTTTGCTAGTTGGATATCATTTAAAGATCGACATAACCAATTTACTCCATCTGTTAGTTAATTATATTATATTGATCATGTTCATAAAAGTAAACTTTTAGGATATAAGTAGAACTTTTCAAAGTTTGTGGGCTTGTGTGAAACCCATGGACACTTCCAAAAGCCTGGAATTATTTAGGAGTGATGTGAGACTGTGACCATTGAGTAATAATTATTTGCACTTTGGACCCCATGACCTGAGTTTTAGCTTAGACGCACTTGAACGTAACTTCTTTGTGTTCGTCCTAAAAACAAAACAATTAATAGAGATGAACATAAATAAATTATTATGTTTTTCTTCATACTTTAAAGAAGATAAGTTTGTTTACGTTCGTTAACATGTTTGTTAATACGGCAAACAAACATAAAAAAGGAATATGTTCTTGAACATGTTCGCAAACAGTAAATGAGAACATATAAACAAAAGTAATTTATACCTTCAAAACATCCATAATTTGTAAATCACTAAATAGCATCTTACTTATGAACTATGACACTAGCACTAACCTACCTGACCAAATAGTTAAAAACCACATCAAACTTTTTTTTTTGGTTGTGTGTGTGTGTGTGGGGGGGGGGGGGGGGGGGGGGGGGGGGGGTTGGAGGGAGAGGGTTAGTTGTTATTTGTAATTTGTGCAATCATAAGTGTTAGTGATATTCATCGAATAACAACATTTCTAAAATTTATATAACAGTTTATCTATTGATTTTTTTGGCACATCTCACATCCTCATTTATTTTATCAAATGTCATTTTATGGTTATTTTAAATTATGTTTTATTTCACATGTCATTTTATGAGTTTTTCATTTTATTAAATTCCACATAATATTTTAATATAATAATAAATGCAACATCAAGATTGAATTCAAAATTTATGAACATGCTCAAAGTATATTGATGTTTGAAACTCTGTAAATTTATTCATTCCGTTTGTAATTGTTGTGGTTTTATTACAACATATATGTTTCTATGAGGCTAACCTGACTCTAAAATTGCAATACATGGTCGGATATGTTTAGGTGACATGTTTTGGCTCTTGGCTCCGTCTATTGAGCATGTTTAGGGACCTTCTTGTTCATTATGTACTCAATCACGAGGTCCATCCTAATCATCCATTGGCCTACCAACAATTTATTATATAGAGTTGATGATCATGAACTCATGTATGGGCCGAGTAAGTTTTGTTTATATACTGGACTAAGAATCAATTAGTTACCTACTTAAAATAATACTAAAATTAGACAATTTTGGAGGAGCATATTCCTCAAGGTAGTAGTTAATTGGACAATGATGGTCATAGTCATTAAGGGGGTTTTGTGACGACCTCTTTTTGTATTTGGGCGTACAATGATGTAGTCTGTATTTGTGTCCTATATTTTATGGATGTTGGTTTTATGCAAAAATACCCTCATTAGTCGTTAAAATAGGATATGATGCCCCCTTTTAGTAAAAGGGGGGTGTTATGATTGCTTGAAAACTAAAAGACTTGAATAACTAAAAACTTGCAATTAAGCAAGAAAGTGAGATGCTCAAATATTGGAGAGAATTGGTAAACCAAGGCAATTCAACACAATGAACATTTGTGTGTTTATCATTAGGATTCAACATGAAGCTTATCATTCATCCCAAATTGGTTATAGCAATCATGAAGCATGATATGCCAAGATTCCTCTTAGGTAGTATGGAGGTTGGGGAAGCCCACAACATACCTTCTTAATCAAAATCAAAGATCCAATTGAAGCAATTGAACCCAAGAAGTTGATTAGCCTTAAGAATGAAGAAATCCCCAATTCCTAGAGGATGTCAATGCTTACACATCCATAAAGGAGTTATGATTCATAAGCTAGAGATGATTTCTACCATCATAAGCCCTTGTTCTAAGTAAATTCAATGATTCAATGCCAAACCAAAGAAATAAACCAACAATTGCTTATTAAAGTACCAAGCTCATGATCAAAGCACTAAACAAGCATAGGAAATATGAACTAGAATCATAGACATAAGGTAAATGATAAATAAGCATAAATCCTTCAAAAACCCACAAACATTCAGAGGTTTTAGCCAAGGTCTACCAAAATAGAGAGTTTAGCCACTCATGGAAATAGAACAAAAATCACAAAAGTCTAATTGCATAAAGAAACTACCAATAACTTGGAAAGATGAAAAGAAATGAGTCTTGAGCTTCAAAAATCGCCTCCTACAGGTCTCCAATGGTGTCAAAACGAAGTTATGGCTGCTAGATCTCATTCCCCAAGGTAATGGCAAGCCAAATGACCAAAATGCCCAAACTGGGCAGTTGCGCGGGTACCCGCGCGACGAAAATTCCACCCGCGCAAATGTTGCTGTAATGCTATTGGTCCTTCAATCCTCCACTCCACCCTTCCACTACCAAAGATTCCTTTGGTCCCCTCCATATCCATGTGATTTAAACCAACCAATCATCATTTAGCTACAAAAATGGATGCTCCAAGCCCAAAAATAGAAGTTTATGACCCATCTTCACAAGTCCAAAATATCCAAGTCTTCAACTCTTTAAGGCCCAAATCTCCTTTGGTGGATCCGCCAAGC